ATTTCATGTCAGTGAACTTATCTGATACAGGGAGCCCTCATTTCCACTGACGGCAACCACTTCTGATTTATCCCTGGGTTGAAGGAATTTCTTGTACCATCCTCTCCCTGGTGTTGGGAGTGAGGTTCTGGGTCTCAGCTCTGCAGGCTGGGGAAGCGCTGCCTCCCAGCATGAGTCCAGTCCTACATGCGAGGCACACGGTCAGCAAGAGGCAATTGAAGAGCCAGGGGATAAACCAAGCTCAAGGCAGATTTGGGGCAGTGAGAGACATCCCAGACCCCAGTATCTGCCTCGGAGCCTGCCGCGGGACAGCTTATCTTGGAACCAGCCAGACAAGGCTGAAAGGTCAAAGACCTGGTGTCTGAGACTGGGTGAGGCTGCAAAAGAAGGTTAACATGTAGATTGCCCAGCTACCACCGGCTCAATTTTCCCCGTGAGACTTCTGTATTGCAATCCAAAACAAATCTGAGCCCATCAGGAATCCCTCTGATCAATGCAGATATCATTTAAAATATCTTCCCGTTGGCAGCAGGGATCATTCTTGTTTTATTTCTGGGAGGACAATTCTGGAGCTGGTTGGTTTAAGATGGTTTCAAGTACAACACAACTAATTTTCTTCAAAACATCACATTTATCGGATGTGATCCTGCCACTCTCTCAGAGGAACAGCTGTTGGGTTTGCATCCCTCTGTGTTTGAGATAAGCTATCTTTTGACATCATAACAGGTTTTTGTTATGTCAGATGAGATAAGAGTGGGCGTTTGTTGCTACAGTTTCCCTTAGTACCTAGAATTCTGCATTGATTAAAATCTAAAAGTTCCATATGTTGATTTGAGGATGGAATAACAAACATTGTGATTTGCTTTTAAAGCCACAATTTTAGAAGTAGGCTCTCTTAAGGGATGTACAGGGAATCTTGGAGCTCATCCTTTTCTAAAGAAGATAAACTAGATTTTTTTGCTTGGTATTGTACTCCAGCTATATATACACATACTTATGTTTTAATTTAGGAAAGAGAAACAGTTGTAAAAATACTTAAGTTCCTAAGCTGTTTTTCCATAATCTCAGGTCTCTTGAAACTGTTTAAACGAATCTGCATAAGGCTCTCAGATAGTGAATATTCAATGTGTAGTTTCTTACGTGTTCTCACATGGGCTCCTGGATCCTTCTGAGTTATGCCAGAGACTATTATGGTTCAGTATCAGGGTTTTGCTTTTAACTTTCCAAACTGTAGTGACATAGGGTGTGTATGAAATATGGAATTGCTTAGTTGAAAGCTTCCTTCACTCTTATCTGTTTACTGCCCACCAGTGTATCAGAACCAAAAACAAGGCTAATCCCTTGTCTTCTAGGAGAGGGATACTTGGTGATGGTAATGTGTCCTTTCTTGTGTTCCCAGATACATAAGCAATATAATTCTTGATAGCTATCTTGCCTGCAGAGGGAAGTTTCCAGGTAAGAAAGTGTGTGTGTGCGTGTGTGTGTGTGTGTGCACGCACGCATGCACATGAACACACATGGACACACAACATATCTTGAAGTAAGCTAACTATAGACTGTAAACCAATTTATATACGTGGGCTTCCCTGGTGGCTCAGAAGGTAAAGAGTCCGCCTGCAGTGCAGGAGACCTGGGTTTGATCTCTGGGTTGGAAGATACCCTGGAGGAGGGCATGGCAACCCACTCCAATATTCTTGCCTGGAGAATCCCGTGGACAGAGGAGCCAGGCGGGCTACAGTCATGGGGTTGCAAGGAGTCATACATGACTGAAAACTAAGCACCGCAACTGTAGACCATAAACCTTTATACTTTATGTGCATCAACTCAATAAACCAGTCAGGACTGAATATTTGCAGTGAAAGATACTACAAATAAGCTGTCATATACCACATGCTTATCATGTGGACTCAGATGGATTTTGGTATCTAAAAGACCGAATTTAAAAAATGGACATTTTTATGTTATGATAAGGAGTGTCTATATGGAAAGTTAGCATTTTTAGAATAGTTTATATCCTTTAGTCATCAAACAGATATGGGGCTGGGGTCCCAGTGGGGAAATGGCTATAGTATCAGGAAGTAAATTTTTAAAGAAGTGTTTCCCTAGATAGTACAAGACTTGTAGAGAGATATTTGTTGTTGTTCAGTTGCTAAGTTGTGTCTGACCCTGTAGCCCACCAGGCTCCTCTGTCCATGGGATTTCCCAGGCATGAATACTAGAGTGGATTGCTGTTTGCTTCTCCAGGGGATCTTCCCGACCCATGGATCGAACCTGTGGCTCCTGCATCGGCAGGTGGATTCTTTACCACTAAGCCATCAGGAAAGCCCCAAGAGAGGTTTTGTGAGCTCAGTCATGCCTGACTCTTCGCGGACCCATGGGCTGTGTAACCTGCCGAGATCCTCTGTCCACAGCATTTTCTGGACAAGAATCCTGGAGTGGGTCACCATTTCCTCTTCAGGCATCTGCCTGACCCAGGGATTGAACCCACATCTCTTGAGCCTCCTGCATTGACAGGCAGCTTTTTTTAATCATTAGTGCCTGCTAGGAAGCCCCAAGAGTGGTACCAGGGAAATATTGTTAAATGAATTTATCAAGGGCAGTTGATGCCCTTGTGTTTTTGTATTTATGTTCACAGACTTCATGGATTTTGGCAAGCTGAGTCCCTAAGTTTGTGGAAAGCAGTACTTATGTATTTTCTGCATAAAAGGTAGTTCTCAAATGTTAAACCAAAATATTTACAAAGGTAGCCTGTGCACATATGCGTTACATATTTTCTTTGAAAATTGCAAGCAAGATGACATTTTAAGCAATAGCCAATTTGTTTCTTTTGAAATTTTGTAGGTAGCTGAAACACAAAGGAAAAAACTCTCCATGTGAGTATGTACAACTTGTATGGATCTTCAGGGTGTTATGCTGAGTGGAAAAGGCAGTTGCAAAAGGTACATATCTAAGCTAAGCATTCTCAAAATGATAAGATTACACAGATGGAGAACAGTCAGGGATTAGGGAAGCAGAGGGTGTCAGTGCCTTAGGGCAGCCCCAAGGGAGTTTCCTTGTGGTGATGAAGTTCTTTATCCTGATTTGTAGTGGTAATATAAACCTCAACATAGAATTATATACAAAACCAAAAATATATATGCATACATCACTGCAGATGGCAATTGCAGCCATGAAATTAAAAGACGCTTACTCCTTGGAAGGAAAGTTATGATCAACCTAGACAGCATATTAAAAAGCAGAGACATTACTTGGTCAATAAAGGTTCATCTAGTCAAGGCTATGGTTTTTTCAGTGGTCATGTATGGATCTGAGAGTTGGACTGTGAAGAAAGCTGAGTGCCAAAGAATTGATGCTTTTGAACTGTGGTGTTGGAGAAGACTCTTGAGAGTCCCTTGGACTGCAAGGAGATCCAACTAGTCCATCCTAAAGGAGATCAGTCCTGGGTGTTCATTGGAAGGACTGATGTTGAAGCTGAAACTCCAAGATTTTGGCCACCTGATGCGAAGAGCTGACTCATTTGAAAAGACCCTGATGCTGGGAAAGACTGAAGGCAGGAGAAGGGGACGACAGAGGATGAGATGGTTGGATGGCATCAACTCAATGGACATGGGTTTGGGTAAACTCTGGGTGCTGGTGATGGACAGGGAGGCCTGGTGTGCTTCAGTTCACGGGGTTGCAAAGAGCTGGACACGACTGAGCGACTGAACCGACTGATACGTGCCCGAGAACAATGAGTGCATCAAAAACTGGTGAAATCCAAAGGCGGCCTGAACTCTCACCCTCAGTTACCGTCAATGTCAATTTCCTGATAAGGTTATAGTTATCGGTGGGGGAGTCTGGGTGATGGGCACACAGGCTCTCTCTGTAGTGGTAATGCAACTTTTTGTGAGCCTATAATTATTTCAAATTATAAAGTTAGCCTCAAATGCCTCTGCTGAAGAAAGGATTCCAGCTACCAATCAAAAGTACTTAAGAAGCGATTTAGTCAAAGACTGGTATCCTTTCAGGACACAGGTCTTTAGATATAAATGCTGAGACTCCTCATTTAGTATATGCTTGGTAGTACCCAGGTCTGTAAGTTTTAAACTGTGTAATTTAAAGCAATTGCTGTTTCCATAACATCTATTAAAGTTGTAGAATCAGGAAGTTTTAAGAGTGAGCAGGAATCTTACAGAGAATGTAGGCCAGCTTTTCAGGTTACACCTTTGGGTTTTGGTATTCCCATTTTTAATCTGTACGTTATGTCCTAGACTGCAATGCCCTGCCTCGTCCTAAATTTTATAACCCACAACTTTACAAAATAAATGACAGCAACTTTAATGGTGATCTTATAAAATTTTCCTCCATATTTAGTGCATGAGACAAACCTCAATTTATGGCTGGCTGCAGATGTGGATGCAGAAGAGACCCATTTAACACCATCTCACACACTATAAACACTTGCAGAGTCAATCATCTGGGTTTATGTTTGCCACTTACCTAAGCTTTATAATTTTCCAGGACAGAGGGTCAAGGCAGTTTTCTGAGGTGACACATTGTTACATATTCTCTGTACAGACGCATGACTTCTGTCCCTCTGCGTACATATGTGGAGAGAGGAGGCTACTGAGACCTACCTAGCAGGTCTGCCACCAGACCTACTAAATCAATCCTGGAAAGATTCTGGCCAAACAAACATGACAACTTGGGCAACTTTAAAGCAGCAGTCATTATCATTTGGGAAAAAATGGAGATAATGCTCTCTCAATGGCCAATATAGCTTAAGCTTAATCTTTCACATCAACTCTTTTTCCTGGAATGCTAAAAACTGATTACCCTTTGGGGAAACTGAGGCCACCAGAGAAACAGGCTCAGAATGCACCAGGGTTGTGTCTGGCCTGATGACAGCACACATCTACAGAAGGATCTTAGCAGTAACACTCTGTATCATGGTGTTGAATTCCCTTAAGTCTGTAACAACTTGAGTCATAGTCTTACAAAAACAAAACAAGACTAGTAACTCACAGCATCAGTGGAATCATTTTATTAACAAAAGGAACCCATGGGGTTCAGACAAGAGTACAAAATACAATTTTTTTTTCTTGTGGGTTAAATTGTTACATTTTTATAATAAAAATAAAAGGCTTTGATAGTTAACTTATCAAAAACATAACCCCTGCCTATTGAGTTTCTTATTGTGCAAAACAAAACATGAAAGTTCTGCCCATGGAAGAATTTTGTAGCCAAAAGATGCACATTCGCAATTTCAAAAATTTTGCATCAAAAAGAAAATTCTAAGGCCACGGTTTCTTTGCAAACGAAACAAGAGAAGAATAAACAAGCAAATAGCAGCTAAATTTTTATCGTCATTCCCAAGTATTTTCTATTCCAATGTAGAATCTTCTACATTCATCAAATAACTTCTTGATTATAAAAAGGTATGCAGTTTCAACCTACTGCTTAAGGTCAGATATACCAATATCAATTCAATAAGGCAAATCATACCTTTTAGCTATTCTCGTGCTAGAAAATCAGCTCTGTTTTAATTTGATGGGTGCACTTTATGATTTCTTTAAAAAAGGTGGCAAGACAATCCAAGTGAAGACCCTAGTAAGCAGCTGCCTTTCTACCTTCAGTCAGATAATTAAACTTTCTCTTTCTCTGTACAATTTTGTTGTTTCTTTCACTGTGTTTTGGTATCATGGAGATGGACAACGTCTTGATAAAACATGTAAACTGTAATTTAGAGGTCAAGAAATAGCTGATGATCTTTTTTTAAAGTACAAATAAAACTGATGAGACAATGCATCAGACAACGTTGTGTGTAAATTACTTACACACGAAAACAAAGCAAAATAAAAGATTACCAAAAAACCAAAGGAAGGAGTAATAATTCATGACAATTTCAGTATTGCAATTATTGGGAGAACAGCTTGCACTGTGATTTTCAACAGGGGCTTACAATGGAAGAACGGCTTAAGATGCTTACGTGATTACAGAGAAGAGAGGTATGCCCAGAAGGATTAAAAGTGTACATTTGCCTAATGTTTATATAAAAATCCCTGATCAAATGTCCATCTAATTTTTACATACAAAATTTAACCTTAGGACTTTTCTAACTGAGTATACTGCTCGAAAGAAAAGCTAATCGTTCAGTTGAGTGAAGTATAGTATTTGGCATGGGAAGCACCAGGGTTTCTAGATAAACCCTTAGGACATAGAGAAAACCAAAGCACTGGGCTGGTCCAAAAGGTCTATCATGGGGATCCCTACCTCCCTTCCACTCAGCATGCAGAAATACTCTTCAGCTCACGAAACCAACAGATTAAAGTAGAAACAAGTGAACGTTTGATTGACTAGGAGGTGAGAGAGGGACATAAAAACACTGCTCAGACTTTTAGCAGCAACACAATCTTGTTGGTCTGAATATCCTGAGGTTAAAGGATAATAAAATATTGCACCAAAATGATTAAAAAAAAAAATCACAGTTTAAACAGAATTACTAAAGAAGTGGAATAACAATGGACAACACAGTGACTGCCATCGTATCAGTACACTTATGTCTCTTGAGAGGAATTAACTTTATGACTTAAAAAAAAAATGGTATTTCTGCCTTCTTGATTTTACATTAACTTGAAATACCCTTTGGTATATACATACTAACCTTCATCTAATGCTAACCTTACAAGTTTAGTCCAGTTTCAGGTTTGGGGATAGGAGACTGCTTGCTATAGACAAATAAGCAGAAACTCCAGAGAAGACTTCTCAGGCCTGGAGCTTTAAACCGAATCGGATTCTGATAACACCGTTAGAGGTAGGTAAGAAAAGGCCTTTTTCCCCCCACTGTGCAGTTATCAATGCATCCTAAGGATACAAGCTTTTTTGTTTTTTTAACCCTTTTTAAAATATGCTCCTAGGTAATTAAGACATGAGGAAAATCAAACACATACCCTGCTAAAGTACTTAAAGGGGGTTAAGAAGTGGCAACTTCAACAAAATGTGTTCTCAAGTTGAAATGCACCTTTCCCCTTTCAACTGACAAGCCTTTCAAGGAACTCATTCTTGGTTTCATAATACTGTAGAGCCAATTTATAAACTACTTCTTAGACTATCACTAAAAGAGTGAAAACTGTACTTCATTAGTACCTCCAAAGATCCTCACCTCAGAAAAGGATTCTTTTAAGGACCTGCAGTCCTATCGAGTATGGTAAGAAACCAGGACGACCCTGACACGGGAGGGTCTCGCTTCGTATTTAGAGTGGGCCCCTTTCCTGCTCATGCACATTCTTGTGCGGCTACATTCTCTAAAGTCAAGTCTCCTCCCAATACGTCCACATTGCCTCAAAGCTTAAGATACAGATGCTTCACTTTGAGAAAACCTTCTAAAGACATGCTCACAGTGTTTCCACTCTTCACAGGCACGTTTCTTTCTCCTGGGTTGACATAGGCACCCCTTCAACTTACTCTATCACCATCTGGACTTTCAGTACATTCTGAGACTTTTCACATCATATCTTCATCCCATTGTTCAAAGGGGACACAAAACCACATCACAAACTTGCGCAACAATCCTATCGGCCCACTGGAAAGTTCTTGTCACATTTTAAAAATTTCTTCCACCTTCGGTCTTGACGTTATGTTCTTAAGCTAATCTTCCCTCCCTATTCCCCAAAAAGGCAGGGGGAAAGAACCGGCATTCTAACTTGATGATGAACACAGTGATTCCTGAAACACGTTCAAAGAATGAAGGAAACAGGCTGGGTCTCTTCTACGTCACTAGGATGTGGATCAACCTGCAAGAATGAGCAGACCAAGGTTACTACTGTGATGTTCTTTAACACAGCTAGAGAATCTATTTCTAATTACATGATGATAGTTAAGCCAAGCTGCTTAAAGCTACTATTAAGAAGTCCCAAAGACTTCTAAATTCTAAGAATACTATTAAGTTCTCTATATTCCGGGTCCTTAAAGGCAATTCATGGTACTTTACATGCATGCTAGAGAGTACCAAGAAAATACTGCAAAATATGGTAAATGGACCAGTGATAATCTATCATCATCATCATACAAAATTGTCATATGTGTCTTTTAATAACTGGGACTCAACAACGGACAAAAGATTATTTACAAACAGAAAAACACAAACCTAGTTTTCTTTTAATGTGTTTACCTCTGAATAAAGTGGCGGAGGCTGAAATCGGAATTCCTGGATGCAGGCAAACACAGGACAGCATGACTCTCCCTCACAATTAGGGGGCTGAGGGTAAGGAGGAACGTGTCTAGAGAATTCTTCCTCTGACACCACGTCTGCATAATTTGGTGGTGCTGAAAAAAAACAAACCAAACAAACAAAAAAACAGTTGGATCTAAGAAATTCCCAGGCAGAAATTAATTACATTAATGTCTTCTGAACTCTGATAAAAATAAGATATTTAGCTTAATTTGAGAATAAACAAATGGTATTCTTCCCTCTAATCGGGAAGCTTTCATGCCCATTACAACAAAAAATATTCAGTAGATTCTTCTTTTATTAAGTACTACTAACACTGATACTATTCTACTCTTTTGAGTTGTGTACATTACAGTCTAGGTGAAGAAAAAAAAAACAAATCATGAAATGTGACTACAAAAAATACCTACATAACAAACCATACTCTGATTATTGTTCATTATTTAACTATTATAAACAGGAGTCGGGAGATGTGGATGGTATTTCTGCACGTGCCATTGGGAATTCTGTGTCTTGGGTAGGCTAAACTCTTTAAGTCCCTGCCTAGAATAATGGTTGCTGAGTTTTAGTAATAAAAAGAGTGAGGACAGTCATAGTGGCAGTGGTGATTATCATCTGAGCACCTTCTATCTCATCCGTGCTGCTCTTACGTACTCTGTATGTATGACTTCATTATGAAAGAAGCTCAAATGTACTCTGTGTGACTTCATCATGAAAGAACCTCAAAACACCTTACCTTCGGGCTGTTCCGGCAGAGTCAGTGTCAACCAGCTCATATCCATAATGAACTGGCTGGCAACGCTGGAGTTTCTGCTGCCAAAACCATTGTATGGAACTGTGCCAATCACTAAGGGCAGCTCGAGCATCAACTTTTTAGCACCAGGAATGTGAATATACACCTAATATGCCAAAAACCAAAACAACAAGAGAGAGAGAGGCACAGATGTAAGTGAAGGCTCAGAGTGAGTAGCCCGATTATTTTTTCATAAAAAAGCTCCTTTTGTCTGCTACTATTGCCGACAAACCGCAAACTGTCCTGACAGAATAAAGTGCGCACGGTGAATGAAAAGCCCACCAAATACAGAGCGCACTCTGCGCTGGAGAACCGTGACCTGGACACCATCACTGTCACACAAAACCACAGGAAGCTGAGGACTCATCTTCACCGCAACGAGCGGCCCTGACGGCAGCTTCACTCTCCCATCTTAATTAAACCCCTCGGGGGCTAGTTTTTGATGGAAACCAGAGGCGACCGCGCGTCACTGTTTGCTGCGACGCCTCTCGGGGCACAGCGCCCGGCGCGGCTCCCCGCCACGTGCCTTACACCTCCCCGAGCGCCGACTCACGGCTAAGGAGTAGTCCACTCGGATGATGCAGCAGTCCAGGATGGACGGGGTCACGGGCGGGATCTTGAGGGTCTTCCCGTTCCAGGTGTCGGCGCTCCCGGAGGCGATGTGGTTCCCGCGCACGTTGGCCACCATGAGCCGCACCGTCTTTGTCTTCCCGCTGGCCAGGTATGTCTGAGTCTGGAAAATGGCAGCTTTGGGAACAATCAGGCGCGAGGAGCAATTCTCTATTTCTGCATAGATCGGAATAGCTTCTCCTAAAAAGAAAACATAAACACCTTCAGAGACTCTTCAGGAAGTTCTCACCGCAGTGGAACAGAGCTCCCTGACGGAAGCTGAAATGTAGCAACGTGACTTTAAGAAATTGAGAAGCCTCATGGAAAAATCTGAGTCAGAGAAAAGAAAATTCACTGCGTTGTGCAGATAACGTTTTCTAATTATTGCATGATTCACTTTTCTAATGTAGCAGTATTAGGCTACCAGTTCTAAAGACCTATAAATGACCATGATCTATAAAAATTGAGAGAAAATATACAAATAAATGATTTAGTACTATCTTAAGTACCAAGATCATCAATGCTTAACAAAATCTGCCCACAAAAAGAACAAGGTTTGCATTTTAGGAACTGATGTTAAGCAATGGATGGCGTAAACAAGTTTCACACCCACATTACACATCCACTGTCATACTATCCCGTACCACCCCCATCTCCAACAAGCCAGAACCCGGGGCAGGGCCAAATCCACTGGATGGGAATGGGCCTTGCACAGAGGGTTGTTCTGGGATCAGTCTGACTGTTAGCAGTGTCGACGTTCTACGTTTCAGCCCTGCGTGGACAATTCCCAGCCTGGAGTCAGAATGCCTACCAGTATTTCATACAGCAGCAGCTCTCTTCCAAGCAACACTGCTTGGAATATTCTTCTGAAACATTAAAATAAATGCTGGCATCTTCCCATGCTGGTGTTACTCTTAGTTATGAACGTACCAGGACTGAAGTCAGAAATATTAGGATTGTTGGGATCTACTCATCTATCTACAAATATTTAAATATCAATGATTTATACTAGGACCAGAAAATTGTATTACTCATGTTTTAAAATAGTACATATTTCATTAATCACAAAACATACTATTAAAAATTACTTCCCACTAGCTAATTAATGAATCTTGCATTTGGAATTTCAGACAGTTTGCTTACCATTGCAGTATCCCTTTCTTTCAATTTTGGCACTCAGCGAGACTGGACCAGAAGTGAAAAACCAACAGCCAACCATTTTCTCTTGAGTTTTCAATACAGGGGTCTTTAAAAGTTCAAATAATAAAATTACTTAAATTGATCTAGAAAATTCATACAACTTATGCCATTTTTTAAAATAAAATAGTTGTGTAAAAAAAAAGTCTTCCAAAAAACAAATCAACCTTTTTTATCTTCCTGTGACATTTTATGCAACATACTGAAAGAAAGCATTAAAAATCACTCCATTTTCAGGAAAACTAAGTGATCTTTCAGATTTAAACTAGGACCTATTTTATTCTATATTTTCATTGTGTTTCTGGGAAATGATACATCATCCTTTAAAAAAGCAATCAGAACCTAACTGTAGCAGTACCAATTAACATGATAGAACTACCTTTTCTAAAAAAAAGACTTTAGGTGTAGATCAGGAGAAGAAGAAATGGCATACAAATCAATAATCAGAATGTTCTATTTGTCTTGGCGTTTAAAATGTTGAATAAGCAAACAGGCTTTTGTCCTTCAAATGCATTATTAGGCAGAAATTTCAAGTGTTCTTCGAATGATTTGGGGCTTTTGTGTTATATGACAGTACAACAGACCAATGTAATGGATCTAAAGGATTATTAAACTCACCACCCACTTTCTATTCTATATCAGCAAAAGAAACAACACAAGGTTTAAAACACTCAAGTTTATAAGAGGCACAAGCCAAAATTCACTGTAAAACCCAAACTTGCAATATATAGCTTTTTAATTGTTGAAGGATAGTAAAGGATAATTAGCATCTCTTTTTCCAAAAAAAAAAAACACTTTAAATTATTTTCCACAAAGCCTCCATAAATAAATTAGAATTAGTTAACCACCCAATTCTAAGTAGTTTTTAAAAACAGAAGGCAGTTATTAGCATCATCAATTTTCAAAATAGGTGTTGAACAGGTGATAAGTCACAGCTGGGTCAGGCTATTGCATGATTTTGGCTGAAAGGGATCATGCAGCTAGGGCTTATCTGTTACATTTTCATAATTTCATAACAGAGTAAATTCTATTTTATTTTTGTGTGAAAATACAGTTAAGCAACTTCTCACTCCTGTTTTTTTTTCCCCCTGATCTTTAAAAACAATGGCTAGAAAGAGGAAACCTCCAGTACTAAAAATACATCTCTGCAACATCAGTATCATGATGGAAAGTTTAAATTATTAAGTAAAAAAAAAATCATTCATTCATATTTAAATGAAGAACCATTAGGTCCTTACTAGCTATCATGAAAGTACAAGGTATAATTTTATATTATTTTGATAATATGGGTCTAGATAAAAGAATCTACCTCATTAGCTCCCATCTTGCCTATTCTGTTGTTACTTACAGCCTGATCTTTCTTATCAGCCTACAGTATTTCTGGTGATTATTAGAAGTTCAATGCTTTAATGCAGCCAAATCTGTCATAAGGAAATGAGAAGTGAAAGGAAGTCCAGAGCAGCTGCACATCCTCACTTAGCGTTAGAAAATGACATGCAAAATGCACGGAGACACAGCATAATGGCCTGAGCGTCAATAACAGGCTGAGCGTGATTAGTACTCTTCCGTAATTACTGTTCCTCACCCTGCTATTAGGGAAGAGTTTAGAATACCACAGCCCTGTGACTGTGGCTGCTCTGAGAAAAGTAACTACTCTGTGTGTGCGCATTATTATTATTAAGCCTTATTAATGCATTTCGAGCCCATGTAACTTTTTGGCAAAAGAAGCCCTGAATAACAGCGACACAATCAAGAGTATTACCGCACACAATTTGTAATTTGCCCGACTTAGAATCACGTATTTGTAGTGAATGCATAAGGGTTATAAGATTACATCAAAAAGTGACAAGACAGGCGGCCACTAGACTTGCTAAATGCAGGGACAATGGCTGAAAGCAAAGAGGAAGAGGGACAGGGGACGGGAAGGGGGAAGAACGTACTAGTAATGCTGGTGTGTTGACATCGATGTGGCTGACGACCTGGAGTTCCCGCTTAACGCTCTGATCAGGTGCCTGGGGTCGCTCCAAAACCGCCCTCACACAGTACTGAATGCTTCCATATTTCCCAGTGAAGGAGGTTACCAGAGGTCTGAAAGAAACCAAAGATGTGATTTTTAAAGTTTCTTTTTCAGTTTAGGGGAAAGCTCTTAAGAGTGTTGTAGTGGTGGTTTTTAGTCACTCAGCTGTGACTCTTTGTGACCCCATGGACTGTAACCTGCCAGGCTCCTCTATCCATGGGATTTTCTGGAGTGGGTTGCCATTTCCTTCCCTAGAGGATCTTCCCCGCCCAGGGATCAAACCTGTGTTTTCTGCTTGGCAGGAAGATTCTTTACCACTGATCCACGTGGGAAACCCCTTAAATTAAGTGTCAGTTTTGCTTAAAAAAAGAAAGGTGAAAGGGGTGGGTTCTATCAGGGGTTAGTTAGGATAAATATTTACACCTGAGTGTTAGAAGGTACTCAGTACTCATACAATGTACAGACATATTCCAGGGAAAGAAAACCCCCAAAGCTACACAGTTTCACTTACTCAGATGGAAGCTGAAAACTAAATGGAAATTCATGTTTTCCAGGCTGCAGTAAGAGGATGCCTTCCCCTAAAAAAGACAATATATTTTAAGTTTCATATTAGATCAATAATTTTCAGTGTAAACCATAATTTTTTTAAAAGGGAGGTTTTTCTGGCTGTACCACTGCATACACTTCAGAAAGTACATTAACCTGAGATTTAGAGAATTACTGATTAATTTTGAATCAACTTTTACCAAATTCAATCAGTTTCAAATCACATATATATGTGTATATAGTATACTATTAACCTGAGATACAAATATTAAATAGGACTGAAAACTAATTTAGAAAAAAAATAGATCTACTTATTTTAGGTATACCACGAAAATCAGACAAGGTACTTTTTGGGCAGAGCTGGAAAAGGAGGTGAAAAATTTCCTTGGCGTGTTATGAATATTGGGTATAATACTTAATAGCTAATTCAACAGGGCCAGTTACTAGGCAGGAATCACTACTGATCAATCGAGAATGTTGCTTCACTTGGGATAGAGAGGTGCAGATGGCGAAGAATGGCCACAACTCCTTTCTCCTGCTGTGGGGTCAGCCGGCCCCATTGCAGTCAAACAGAACCTTGTCCCTGACCGTGAGAAAGCTGGGAGGCAGGCTGTGGATGGGCCAAGAAAGGCCAGAGGCACTGCGGGCGCACCAGCTGAGTGCACAGACTCCTGGTCAGCTTCAAAGCCAATGCCAGGGACGTCAGTGTTGGCTGGGTGGCCCCCCAGAGAGACCTGTACACGTTCTCTTCCTTCTGCGTGCACAGATCCAAGCACAGAACTAAATCCCCTCAAGGGTGGGCTGACTGAGCACTTTCTCTGAGATCTGCCTGGCCAGCTGATACTAAAATGGAGATTTCTATTGTAGCCATTCATAAAAGAAATTTTAAAGGCAAGAAATCACTAGTGAAATGGGATAATTTTTTAGTTAATAGGTCTTAGAACTTAAAAGTCTTAGCCCCTCATCAATTAATATTTCAACCCTATACTTTTCAAAGTTAAAAGTGTTAAGTCACTTGGTCATGTCTGACTCTTTGCCACCCTCTGGACTGTGGCCTGCCAGGCTCTTCTGTTCATGGGATTCTCCAAGCAGGAATACTGGAATGGGTAGCCATCCCCTTCTCCAGGGGATCTTCCTGACCCAGGGATCAAGCCTGGGACTCCTGCACTGAAGGCAGATTCTTCACCATCCGAGCCACCAGAGGCCCTTCTCCCTTCCGACCTTGTACTTTTAGAAAAAGGGAATGCATTATTGGCTCATTAAATCTCCTAAATCTATCTCCGATTTTCAATGTGTGATATATTAGGGGGAAAAAAATCCTAACAGCATTTGCCACTTACGGTCATTCAAACAGAAATACTCAACAGGTGGTTAACTTGGAGGATAAGCCACAGGGACAAGTTAAATGACATGCTAAATGACAGTGACAGAGTTAGGCCCAGGGCTCAGGTGTGTCTGGGGCCACCCCACAAGCCCCAGCACTGGAAGGCGGGAAAGCCGCTCCACTCTCTAACTATCAAGCACTGGGCTTGAGGAATCCCGATACTCCTGAGAGCTGGGCTAAAGTTCCAATTTGTAATCATCAGATAACTGAAGATGACAAAGTACTTAGAATGTTTAAAGATGTGGATTTCATTATGTCCAAAATTTACAGTGATTGTCAGGTACAAAGCTGATACAAAGCTAAGTAACTTCAACCTCCAAATAGACCTTGGGAGGAAAGATGGCTAAGACACTTGTATGCAAGTAATGACCCCAGGATGCCGAGTCTATTGGTGGTGGTTGGGGGTGGGGTGGGGTGGGGCTAGCATCTTTAGAACCATCTCGGCAGTTGATGTAAGGGGCTGGCATGGAGACAAGGGTTAGGTGAAGGGAAGGGCATAGCGGGCAAGTGTGAAGAACAGAGTTGTGCAGGACATTGGAAGAGGATGAGAGAGAGATGAAGTTCTCTCTTCAGAGAAAAAACAAATAGGACCCAGAATATTTAAAATGACTTTGAACTACCTCAAAACATAAAGAGGGAAAGAAAAGTGTTCAGAAAGTTGGGTAGCTCAGCTGGTAAAGAATCTGCCTGCAATGCAGGAGACCCTGGTTCAACACCTGGGTTGGGAAGTTCCACTGGAGAAGGGATAGGCTACCCACTCCAGTATTCTGGGGCTTCCCTGGTGCCTCAGACAGTAAACAATCTGCCCACATTGCAGGACACCTGGGTTCAAACCCTGGGTTGGGAAGATTCCCCTGGAGGAGGGCATGGCAACCCATTCCAGTATTCTTTCCTGGAGAATCTCCAAAGGACAGAGGAGCCTGGCAGGACACACTCCATGTGTCCATGGGGTCACAAAGAGTTGGACACGACTGAGTGACTAAGGGCACAGCACAGCGTTGGAATAAAATCTTTGCTTGCTTTCTTCTTCTTTATTAATTTTTAATTAAGAAGGTCTATAAACTGAATCATGTGTCCATTTCTGCTCTCAAGGTTTATTATCTTTGCCTTATGCAATGAGACCTACAATGTCACAAGATGCTTCATTCACTCATGGTTCCTCAGCCCAAGCTCATAATTCAGGGCACTGGTTGAGTCCTGGGAGCTACCAGACCAATACAAGAGGCAGAGCCTGGAGCTCAAAGGTTGAGGAATATACACAAGGTCATCCTCCTGGTGTGCTGCCAACACTTGAAACCAGCTCTCTGATGTGTCTTGTTTTTCTACCACTATTACTGATAAAAATATGAAGAAAATCAACCACCAAGATAGAAAATAGGTAGATTAACAAGGCCAACAAATTATCCAGTAGATTTTTTGAAAACACATCCCATAGCCTAATTTCTAAAAATCTCTTCAAGTGACTGAAATTCAGCTAGATTTGGAAATTAAACAAACCTAAGAATCTATAGCTATATAATGTTGCTAACTTCTCCCAGGCTATAGATATTAGGAGTTTTTTGTTTTTTTTTCTCCATGAAGTCAACTAAAATAGACTTATGATTTCACTTTTCGCCAGTGTTTGTAATGGTATGTTCTAAAACAAGCTAAGATTTTTCAGGTTGTCTAGAATGAACCATTCTATTTTATCAGAATGACAAAAAAATCTGACTTGTGAATCAGAACACTATTTGATAGTCCATATTTTACCAAAGTGTTTTTCCCACTGCAAATCTAACTTCTATTAATCTTACATCTATTTACTCAGTAGTTATGGGCACAGAGATCCAGGCAGTTTAAAGTCCTGGACAAAAACTCAGTAGTTATGGACACAGAGAGTCTAAAGTCCTGGACAAAAAACAATTACTTCCCTCTTCCATTGCCCTTGACTCCAGTCAGCCATCTTGAAAATCTGTGTTGTCTGTTACCTTTGGGGAAGGCCTGTGTGGATTGATTCTGGAAACCATACTGATGAAAGGGCATAAAGCAAGAAAGAACTGTCACCTAACATACTGCATTTATTAATCCCAGAGAGGACTTTGGTTCACATGTGCTTTCCTCACTGAAGTTTTTGGAATTAGTTGATTCTCACAAACCTTGAGGATTTAACTGTTAACAGTCTACTGTTCCATAGCAGGACAAGGAAAAACTGCATTTACTGTTGATTTTTGTATAATACATAGCAAAGGATAAACACTGATACACTGCATTTTACTCTTCAAGGGCGGAGAGTCTACATCACTGTTTCATTTTACAGATAAATGCCGAAGCTGATGAGGCAGAAAGGTAAAACAGTTTAAAGGAGCTCCTCAACTAAAAGAAGACTAAGACTCACTGTCCCTGGTATTTTAAGGGAATCTATTTTTGCACCGAACATTGATGGAATCCACGCTGTGAATTTCCAGAAGTACATGGGTACTTCTGGAAAATCCTACACTATTAACGACTTCACAAGCAGGGTCATCATTCCTCCACAAACTCTCTCAGTGGCCAGATCCCGTTGTCACTCAAGGTTTAAAGGGGGTGCAAGGAAGGAAGAAGATGCAAAGAGAACAAAAAGAAGCGAAGGATAAAGACAAAGGTAGAACTCTTAAACTCGGTCCCCAAAAGGGGGGAATCCAAGGATGACGGATCAAGTCAAAAAGCACTTCCTTTGAACTCCTAATGCTCAGGGAACGACTTCCCTCCTCCTAAGATCTGAGCTTTTTGCTAACTCATCATGAAGCAAGAAGGATGCGAGTTGTGGGGGTTGATGGCGGGGCAGGGGGAACGCAGGTGAAGGGAAGGCCCGTAAAACACCGGGCACATCAGGACAGACTCTGGTTCTGCCCTCCATTCCTTAGGCCACAAGGAACAAGACCTAGAGCCCCAGATCCTTGGTTCCCATGGCAACGGCTCACTCCCACAGCCTGCCTAGACGGTCCTGGGACCCCGACGCAGCTCAGCGCCCAGCGAGACAGGGGCGGGGCGCCAGGTGGAGAGCAGCACCGTCTCCCCGGGGTTGGGAGGTGGGGGTGCGCAGGCATTGTTGCCCGCCCGTCACAACCCCAAGGGGATGCTGGGCCACCCCGCGAGCGGACCCCACCCCCAGAAACCTCCCCTTCGGCACCCTGACCGGCGGGTATCCCCCGGAGCACTCCTTCCCCGTCCCCCCCGGCCCCTCTCCCAGGCCGGGGTCGGCGCTCACCGGCCGGGGGCTCGCGCAGGCTGAGGCGCACGTTGAGGTACTCCACCTCCGAGGAGGCCGCCGGGGCAGCGGCACCGGCGCTCGGGCCCCAGGCGGCGGTCGCACGGCCCTGGGCCTCCAGGCGCAGCGCGCGCAGGGCCACCGGCTCGGCCGCCTCCAGCAGCACGTGTCCAGCCACGGTCTCGCCGCTCGAGTAGCAGCCCTTGCGCTCGTCTTCGAACACCAGACCCAGGCTCTTCACGCGGCCCTCGAAGCCCGCCGCCGCCGTCGCGGACCCCGCCTCGCCGCCCATCCTGCCGGGCGACGCGGCCGCGCCGAGGCGGTCGGCAGCGGCCCGGAGCCGGGGTCACGAGCCGAGCGGCGCCGCTGTCACGGGCGCCAGGCGCACGCCGAGGGCCCCCGCGGCCGCCCTGCGCTGCCCAGTGGAGCCACGGCGCGCCGTAGGGCCTGTCGCTTTAACAAACCCAGCTGGCGAAGGCGAGGGGCCGGGACAGCCCACCCCCGGCGCGCGCCCATAGGCCGGCTGGGAGCCCCGCGACGTGCCGATTGGTTGTAAAGGGCTACTGAGTCATTTCATTGGCGCCCCCGCGCAAGGGCTGGCGCAGGCCGGCAGTGCGTGATCAAGGAGTGGTGACCAATCAGGGTACGCAAGGGTGCACGTGCACAGGCAGCTTATTGGCTGGGACACGGCACGGTCCTGGGGCCCTGACCAATAGAGAGGCGGTGCGCCCATGTGGACAGCTAGTGGGAAACAATATTTGTTAGGGAGGGGGCGGAAACAGGAATCTCCGGCTTTTGGCGTGTCAGCCGTTCCCATGGTTACAGGTGGAGGTGGGGTTTCTAGTAGCCTGGGCTTACGGGGATTCACACTGGGACGTGAGGTGGTGGCTGCAAAGGGCTTGTGATTCTGGTTGCATCTGTATTACTTAAGAGGTTGTACGTGTCCTGGAAAAACGAACTCAACAATATATCTTTGTGAGATCTGGGAGCCGGCCGCCTCGGAATTTAGGTTTCCGAGCCCCAGCCTCTCCCGCGTTTCAGAATTGCCCGCCTAAGATAAAGCTGCAGAAAGGGAGACTGAAAGCTGCGGTTCTCAACCTGAAAGGCCCTTAGGAGTTCGGCTGCCTATCTCCTCTTTCAGCCTCTTTAAACTGAGAGTGCTTGGAATGGTCGTTCTTCCAGCTGTGAATAAGGTCATCAACCAGGTTGTTTGTAAACAACGTCTGCCACCCAAGTGTCTGCCCAACCCTAAAGGAGTTCCTGACCTCCGTGTCGTAATTCAAGAAAATTTCCAGTTGCCTTGATGACTAGTTCTCCTTGTCCGCAGCTCCTGTCGCCTCTCCTTAGTTTCGCTTTCGTCTTTAATCCTTGATTCCTTCTCAATTCTCATTTTATTGTTGTTGTTATCTAACGTCTCTGCCACTATCTGGCCATCATTTTCTAAGCCTTATAAATTCTTCCCTTATAAAAAATACCAACGTTGTGAGCGATCACGGAATGACCACGGAATGACCAATCATATATTGAGATTTAAAAATCTTCCCCGATATCGGTGTTTCTTTTGTTTTTTAAAATAACCCTAAACTAAAGGTTGATTTTCTGCTTAAATTTAGCGTGTTAACATGGAACTTTAATAAGGTTTTACAAGATTTACAACTTTTATCTCTTCCTAAAGAACATGAAAAAGGCCCCAAATCCATCTCTGCATAAATTCCTGAAATAACTGCTCTTCTCTTTTTTTCCAGTTTATCTAGATTTGCCCCCAGCATGCCCTTACTCTACCACTTTTCTTTATATCCTAATCTAACCTTGTATAGCAGGCTTCCCTGGTACCTCAGCTGGTAAAGAATCACCTGCCATGCAGAAGACCCCAGTTTCATCCTTGTGTGTTTAGACCAACACAATCATTAATATGGTTGGTTTTAGGGTTTTAGGTGTATTATTTTATTATTTGATTAGTTTGTGCCTGTGGTGGGTGTTTCTCTATTACACTTTTCCTGTCTTTTCAAATATTCCTATATCTTTTAGTTATCTATTTAAATGTATCCACTAATTTTGAACTATATCTCTTTGTAGTGTTTTTTTTTTTTTTTTTATAGCAGTTGCTCTAGGGGTCAGTAACCCTTTGATGCTATAATTGGCATGTATATTACATCCACATGTATTGATAACTCCATCAGACAGTGTTTACATTTTTGCTTCAGGTAATAACATGTATTTTAAAGAATCTAAGAGAAAAATTGTCTATTATCATTTCTGTTACTCTTTCTTTATTCGGAAGTTCCAAGTTCCCACAGGGAATAGTTCAGGTTGAAGGATTCCTTCTAGTATTTTAGAGAAGGCCTGCTGCAATGATTTCCCTAAGTTTGTCTGAGAAAGGTTTATTTTGACATCATTACTGAAGAGTATGTGTGCTAAATATGGACTTCTGGGCTGGCAATTCTTTTCTTTCTTTTTTTACATTGCTGCATACCTTATTTTTAAAATTGAAATACAGTTGGTTTACAACATTATGTTGGTTCAGGTGTACAATGTAACGTTCTTTCTTTTAGCACTTTACAGATGTCACACCATTGCCTTCTCAGAACCTTGGTTTCTAATGAAAAACCAAACAGTCCTTCCAATTTTTCTTCCCATGGACATACATAGAGGGAATTGTTTTTACTGTCTACTTTGAAGATTTTTTCCTTTATCTTAGTTGTCAGCAGTTTGATTATAATGTGGATAGGTTTGGTTTCCTCTGAGGTCATTTTGTCTTACAGCTGTATATTTATGTTTTTCACCAAATTTATGTTTTCTTTGATAATGTCTACCTTTTTTTCTGCATTTTTCTCCTTCCCATCGCCTGCTGGGACTTAAATATCATCAATATTAGACCTTTTGATATTGTCCCACAGGACCTTGAGGGTGATTTTTTTCAATCTTTTTTCTTTTCTGCTGTTAAAGAAATTGGATAAATTCTGCTGATCTGTTTGCAAGTTCACTGACTTTTTCTTCTGTCACCTTCATTGTGTTACTGAGATCATCCCATGAATTTCTTTGTTTAAAATGTTGTATTTTTTAGTTCTAAAATACTTTAAAAAATAAAAACGTCAATCTTTTTGTTTATTTCAAGAGTGTCTACCTTTGTCTCATTGATCATAATGATAATAGTTGTTTAAAGGTCTTTGAAAAAGTTTCTATATCAGGATAATCCTGAGCTTGACATCTGATTGTCTTTTCCTTTGAGAATTGGTCACATTTTCATGTATTTTGTATGTTGAGTAATTTTAGATTATACCATAAACGTTTTGAATCTTATACGATTCTGAGTCCTGTTAAAATGCTCTGGAGAATGCCAGCTATTTTCTGTTAACAGGTAGTGACCCTGTGTATGTTCAGACTGCCCTTGGGCTCTCCTTCTGTGGGCAGAAGTTCCTACATCAGTTCAGTTCTTAAAAGCTTTGTTCTCCTGCTATGGGTCTTTACCCTATGCAAGCAGCTCAAAGTGAACCTGGGACTCTTACCAGTTCATACATAGAATTAGGGGCTACCTTACCCTATTTCTTTCCCCTTTATTATTTTTCCCATTTCCTGTGGCTCCCAGGGGCCCCTTCGTCCAGCCCTCTAGGTAGTAAATCTGGTGTTCTTCTAGGAGTTTTAGCTACAGTACTGCTGTTATTGGAGTTACTATCAAGGCAAAACAGTGAGGGAAAGGAGCGAAGAAAGTGGGATCTTCACACTCCAGGGTGTAGGGTCCTCCGTCCAGATGGACAGGTTTTCTCTTTGGGTTTAGGTTCCTGTGCCACCACGGCTTCCTCAGGGCAGGGCCAGGAGGAAAAAATGACAAAGAAAACCCCAAATCGATGAGACTCAGTACTGATCACAGCAGTTATGTAAACTAAAATATGGAGGAGAAGAGACAAATCTTCCTTACAATATTCCCAACCATTGCCGTAGATTCTCTTCTCTCCCCTTGAGCGTGCTCTAGACTTAGTCACTTGTCTCCAGCTGGCAAACACGTTAGCCAGGTTAACACCACCAGTGATTCATTATGTTGACAGAAGGTACCCTTGATGTAAGAGCATGAAAAGGATACTTCACTTCTTTAATGCTCTTTGCTAAAACCCAGAACTCCAGTCAAAACATGAGCAAAACATCCAGCAAACCCAATCTGAAGGACATTCTACAAAGCACCTGATGAGTGGACCTCAAGACTCAAGGCCAAGAAAGCAAGAGAAGATCCAGAAACCCCCAGAGAACCGTGGAGACATGATGACAATGAAATGTGGTGTCCTGGAATGTCGCCCAGAACAGTAAAAGGACACTAAGTCTGGAGTTTAATCATAGTTAGATACCAGTATTATCTTCTTGGTTTTAAAAAATGGAACGTGTTAACATGAGATGTTAACCATGGGTGAAATAGAGTGAGGGGTGCTCAGGGACTCGATACTATCTTTGCAGTTTTTCTGAAAACCTAAAGTTATTCTAAAGTAAAAGTTTACTGGAAGCAACAATGACAGCAACAGGGATTTCCCCCATACTTTCCGGCTTGTAGAAACACCTTTTCTTAGTTCTCTGACTAAAAGCTAAGAGTTCTCTCTGAATTTCTGCTGCCTATGTTGTCTTTGTTAGTTTGACACAGGGGCCACCCTTGGTTTCAAGTCAGGAGATTAAAAAAAAACCCTCCACAAAACTCACTTTTAATATGGTTTACTTTTTAAGTTTTGACTTCCCTCCCTAAGCTACTAACTGTTATTGGTGCTCAGATACTTGCTGTTATTATTATTGTTGTTGTTATTTTAGCCTCATCAGAGTTTTAGTTGTCATCACTGTGAGAAAGGTTATTGCATGCTGACTCCAAGTTGCCCAGTATCTTTCCTGATCCTTCAGGTCTTTTTTTTTATTATTTTTTTTTCATTTATTTTTATTAGTTGGAGGCTAATTACTTTACAACATTGCAGTGGTTTTTGTCATACATTGAAATGAATTAGCCATGGATTTACATGTATTCCCCATCCCAGTCCCCCCTCCCACCTCCCTCTCCACCCGATCCCTCTGGGTCTTCCCAGTGCACCAGGCCCGAGCACTTGTCTCATACACCCAACCTGGGCTGGTGATCTGTTTCACCCTAGATATACATGTTTGATCCTTCAGGTCTTATGGTGGCAGTGGTTTAGTCTCTTAAGTCGTGTCCTACTCTTGTGACCCTACTCTTGTCCTACTCTTAGGAACTGCAGCCCACCAGGCTCCTCTGTCTGTGGGATTTTCCAGGCAAGAAATATGGGAGTGGGTTGCCACAGGGAATCTTCCCAACCCAGAGATCAAACCTACATCTCCTGCAACGCAGGTGAATTCCTTACTGGTGAGCCACAGCTACCTTTATAATTAACTTATGCTGCTGCTGCTGAGTCCCTTCAGTCGTGTCCG